ATATATATATATATATGTGTACACAGTATATAAAACAGTGCCCTTTATATTGGTGAGTTATTTTGATGGAATGGCCGATGTCTGATATTGAACTTTATCGCTAATATCAGCCCGTACTGATACCATGCCGATAATATCGTGCATCCCTAACAGAAACCCTTAGTTTTATCTCCAGGAGGGATGAGGACACTATCAATGGAAGGACTGAATCACAAAAGAGAGAGGATAGTGAAGAGGTATAAAGAGAAACAAAAATATCCTGCAACAGCAGATACCTGTGTGTATGTGTATGTGTGTGTCTGTGCGTGTCACTTACAGGTGTTGACACCAGTCCAGAATCAGGACTTGGGTCCACTGAGGGAGCTGTGCCTGTGACTCCGAGCTCTGAATACTGGGATGAGTGGGATTTAGGAAAACTGCCACTGAGAGTGTTCACGCCTGAAGAACTGATGGAGACAAAGAATAAAAATGAACACACAGATGATGCGGTGTCTCATCACACCTGTCTGAAGGGGAGCATTATTAATGTAACCTGTGCATGTGTGTGTGTGCTGAAACCCTGACCACCGGCTGAGTGGTTCGAGTTACACTGAACTGGGCCTGACAATGCAGATTAGAACCCGTTGCCATGGCACCAGTGGACACCTGAGCAGGTGCTATTAGCTTATAATAGTCCCTGTATGCAGGTGATGTGTGGACACTGGTGCCTGTATTATTTATACTGGCTGTTTGTTCTCATCTGCTAACCAGAAACTAATGGGAGAATAAACCAAAAGTTATCAAGAGGTTAAAGTAGCTTGTTCCTGCTAAACCAGCATAAAAATTGAAGTTTAGCATACCTTTCTGACATGTCCAGTCACCTTGTTGTGGCGGTAAATCCTTCTGGCCTGTTAGCGCCTCACGCACGGCTCGGTTTTGTGCTGTAGCCCGGCAGCTGTGACCCATTTGGATCCTGTTGTCTATGTTAGAGATCACGGTGAGAAAGTTAGCCGTCCTGCTGGCTGTGTGGGCCACCGCTGTGTGTGTGAATGAGACTGCTGGCTGCTGCGCGTGACACCGGCTGACAGCAGGTTGCCTGGCAACACACGCTGCTGCGGGTCACTGCTGCCGCACGAGACGGCTCAAAATTCATATTGATCTTCAAAAGAACTTCTGACAGCTTGCTTACTTTTACACAAAGGGGGATTTTCCAAAGCAGCTAGCTCAAAGACATTGCTCCTGGGAGGAGGTGTAGACCTAATGTTAGAGCATACTGACAGCACTGAAACACATCCTTTATGACCTAACCCTTATTTATGTAAAGTCTGCCCCTTTACATTCGACTCATGGCCACTCAACATCAGGCCATACCATAACACCTGAGTTAGGCCTGGATCAGGAATTTAGGGCCACATTTAACCTGGCTTACATAACTGAGCCAAATGTGGCAAGAGTAGCCCAAACAAACAAAAAAATAAATAACAAATAATGTGGTATTATTCATTCATTATCTTTTACCTGCTTCTTCCTTTAACGACATCTTCAGATCCACAGAGATACTGGTGATTCTGTGCTGCTTGTCCTGTTGGACCTCACAGCCGCCTTCGACACCATCGACCATAAGATCCTCATTGCTAGGTTGGAGCAGTGGGTGGGCGTCACAGGATCAGCCCTCAATTGGTTCAGATCCTACCTCACTGACAGATCATTTTGTGTCTCCATCAAGGATTTTAGTTCCGCAGAGGCAGAGCTTAAATGGGGGGTTCCGCAGGGGTCCATCCTGGGTCCCCTCCTATTCTCTTTATACCTGCTGCCGCTTGGTGCTATTTTCCAGAAACACAACATGCCCTTCCACTTCTATGCCGATGACTTCAAATTTACTTCCCCTAAGACACAATGGTACATGCTCTATTCAACACCGCTGCTCGACTGCCTGGCTGACATCAGGGACTGATGGCTTTAAATTTCTTGAGTTTCAATGAAAAGAAGTCTGAAGTCATGTTGTTCCCTCCCAACGACACGATCACAAACCACTGCATCGACCTCTCCGCTCTAACCCTGTCAGAAAAACAAAGAGTCACTAATCTGGGAGTGATAATGGACCCTTCCCTGAAACTTAACAATCATGTAAACATGATTGTTAAATCATGCTTCTTCCAACTGAGGCGGCTGTCTAAACTGAAGCCCATATTATCCAAAAATAACCTGGAGACAGTAATACATGCATTCATTACATCTAGGCTTGATTACTGCAATTCACTCCTGTTTGGTATCAGTCAGACCTCCATTGCATGACTACAACTGGTCCAGAATGCAGCAGCCCAATTTCTAACCAGTACAGGCAAAAGAGAGCACATTACACCAGTTTTGGCCTCCCTGCACTGGTTACCAGTTCACTTTCGAATCTAGTTCAAAATACTGATGTATGTCTACAAATCACTGAACAGTTTGGGGTTTTCATGAGCTGTATGCCATAATCATCAGTATTAAAACAATTAAAGACCTGAAATATTTCAGTTGGTGTGCAATGAATCTGAAATATATGAAAGTTTCATTTTTATCATTACATTATGGAAAATAATGACCTTTATCACAATATGCTAATTTTTTGAGAAGGACCTGTATTTAGGATTTAGAACAACATACTGTATGCTCCTGTCCATCCATTAATCAGCGTTACCTGCTCTTCCTTTGAGGGAAGCTCACGTCCCACAGTCATTTTATGAGAGGCGGGGACCCTGGACCACAGGGCCACGTAGAGACAAACAAGACAACTATTGACATTCTCACTCAACCCTGGAGACAATTTAGATTACAAGTTAACCTAAAATCCATGATTTTTGTCTGTGTGAGGAAACCCATGCAAACTCTAGGTCCCCTAACTGTGAGGCAGCATCTCTAACTGCACCACCGTTCCACCCATGTTCCCATCCAGATGATGCGTTTTAGGGATGGCCTTGCATTTCAGCAAGACAATGACAAACCACATTCTGGATCTATTACAACAGCATAGCTTCTAATTAAAGGATTCCAGGTTCTGGACTGGGCTGCCTACAATCCAGATGTTTAACTAATTTTAAAAAAAAGTATGCATTATGAAACTAAAAATATGACAGATAAGATTCAGAACTGTTGGACAGTTAGAATCATAAAATACAAGAATGGGACAATGTTCCCCTCCATGGACTCTAGTCTCCTCAGTTCCTTGATATTTAGACTGTTGTTAAAAGAAGAGGGGATACTTTACAATAAGAAACCTGTTCGTTCCAACTTGTTTGTGACACGTTGCTGACAAAGGTTTAAAATGACTTTTTTCCAAAATGGTACAATTTCTTAGTTTAAACATTTGATATATTCTCTATGTTCCAATGTAAATAAAACATAGGTTTATGAGATTTGTAAATAATCACAATACCACCAGTTTTGCTTCAGATGTGATATACAGCTGCTCTAAATTAAAAATTACAATATTTACCTAAATGTCCAGTAGATAAATCGTGTAATAAAAATGTGCTATGAACCTGAATATCCAGATTCAAGAGCTAATAACAGCAGCTGTGACTTTAATGAGTGGTGCAAACACAACTGTTAAATTATAGTTCATGTGGTTTGGTGTAAATTAAATGAATAAACTTAATTACAAGTCGCCAGACAACCAAAGAGTCAAAAGTGGCAAACTGGATAAAGTGAAACTAATGCGATAATCCAAATGCACAAATGAAAAGGAATTATTTAAAGTAAAATAAATAAGTTCACTGTTCAGAATTAAAAAGCAAAAAGGTAAATATGAAGTATTTCAAAAACAGACAGAGTCTATGGATATTAACTGCATCTCACCTCTGGTAAACCATGCTCAACCAGTCATTTGATAAAGTATTTTCAGAGTTCTCCATCTGCACTTCCTGTTCAGTTTATTGGAGGAGACAACTGTGCACACGATGAAGACATAAGGCACAGATATCACCCCGGCTGGTGGAATTAATTTAGATTATAAATAACTTCATGAGCTGTGACTCCTCAACAATACACAACATGCTCTGCATGCTGGAGTGGTTTAAAGCTAATAAAATACCATTTTTATTTAAAACAAAACCAATCCTCTGTGGAATTAAAAATGATTTAAAATTTCTATTTAATCTTTTCTTAAATAAATATTAAACTAAATCTTATACCTAAACACCCATTTCAGACTCGCATAATCTAAAGGACAACAGTGAAACTTATGTTGTTTAAAGCCAAAATAAGCCACGTTTTTAAATGTAAAGAGAAAAAAAGTCTTGAAACATGTAAGGATATACATTTTTAATGGTAACACATTCATTTTTTAATCCAAGAAAAGAATCATTACAGCTGGTGTTACTGTTCCCTACATGTAGTTCACCTGCATTCTGCTGTCTGTTTCCATGGCAACCAGCCCTCCTTACAAACTGCTCACCTGTAAGACACCCAGCTGGGGATAATCACTCAGGTATGATAAGGCATAATAATTCATCAGCAGTTAAGCCATGTGATTAAATGTAGAAACGTCTTAACGCTGTCTGGAACAAATATATTACTAAGATTAATAGTTTAAGGATTAATGTTTGCACGTGTTTATTCTGTAATAAATACTGAGCATATATATGTCTTGTATATAGAACACAGTGCCTGTCAGGCATGTAAATAAAGTGTGGATAAAAAAGAATACTCTTAAAGAGGAATACATTTTGTGATTTATATGCGTGTAAAAAGCTGCTCGGTTAAACTTAAAGGGGCTCCGCGTGGATTTTTTATTTTTTATACTGCATGTGTATATTTTTACTCGTACAAACAAAACTTTTATAGTGAATATTTACAACTCCTGTCTGCACATCTGTGTTTGATTATTTAAAGCTTCCAGTATAAAAAAAACCACAGTCACGTTACGTGTTGTATGCCGTGCCTCAATATATAATATATCTTTTAAATATTCAGCTTATATATATTCTTCGTACATAGTATAAAACAGCTGAAGATGGCAATAGAGAATAGGTAGCATTTATGATGTCTGAAGCTGATTTTGCCAAGGCCAAGAGGCCTCCCGTCTTGTTCACATGGAGTCAAAGTCGTGGTCGCTTGGTTCGATGACTTCAGGAGTCATGACTCGGCCCATGAAGAGGATGGACCCTGGAGGAAAAACAAACATTCATAAAAACACATGTTTGTAATGATCATAAGTATGTGTTATTAATGCCAGCAACTGCATAGTAATAAGTGGATTCAATTACATGACAAAAATAAAGTATAGTAGTCCCTCACTTATCGTGGGGGTTACATTCCAGACACCCACGTGATAAGTGAAAATCAGCAAAGTAGGGACGCTATATTTATTTTATATTCAAAAAGCGTTCAATACAAAAACAACTGGACTTTATTTATTTGTTTTTGTATTGAACGCTTTTTGAATTCATCATGTCCTGGATGACTGAGAATCTTCACCAGAATATATTTATTTTAGTATTTATATCCATTTTAAGGCTTTATAAACCCTTCCCACACGCTTCCAAAGTTCTTAACAATGTTCTAAGCTCTCTAAACGCTCTCAAAGAGCACAACGAAAAAGAGCAGACAGACTGATGCTACGGTTACTGAGCCAATCGGACTGGCCATCGGGAGCACCGGGACATTTCCCCTTGGCCTGACGCACTCAGTGAGTGCCGAGGGGTACTAAAAGCTTGGTTCGGGTCGCGCTTGGTTATTTTAAATAAACAATCCACGTCGCTCACTCTGGTATCCACCTCACTGAAGTTCCCACAGCAGCGAAGGGGAAAGATAGACCCCGCCCCCTCCTTTCTCTTTCTGAGGCTGTCTGTTACAGCAGAGCAGAGACACACAACAGGTTGCACGCCTACTTGTTGTGTGTCTCTGCTTTGCTGTGGCAGCCTCAGAGAGAGAAATGAGGGGGGGCCCTCGGCATGAGGTTTCGGCATGAAAAGCTTTGCAGAGAGTGGTGAAGGCTGCACAGAAATCTGTTGGAATCAGTCTCCCCACCATCACAGACATCTACACCTCCAGATGCAGGAAGAGGGCCACCTGCATCATGAAGGACCCCACCCACCCAGCACACACACTTTTTGCCCCACTCCCCTCAGGAAGGAGGTTAAGGAGCATTAAGTGTAGAACCACTAGACTGAGGAACAGCTTCTACCCTGAGGCTGTTAGACTCATGAATCTCTAACTAGAATAATCACTGTGAAAAACCATATCATGTTGCTGCTGATCTGTTTCATGTTGCTGCTGATCTGTTTCAATGTTGATGTGTTCATGCGTGCACATCTGCTCACAGTCTCATGTTCATGTTTGTGCTGATGTTCAATGTTTTTATGTTATGAGTGCTTAGTGTATATTTAGTTGATGTTTTTCTTAGTTCATATCTTAGATGTTATTACTGTTTTTCTTAGACATTTTATTGTTGGATGTAACTGGGACCCCGTGTACATAATTTCGCTCCACCACATGTACCACATGAGGTGCGAATGACAATAAAGAAACTCTGACTCTGACTCTTAAATGTTTTCTAATTGTCTATCATCTGTCTCACTGTACAATTATGGACTCCAAATTGTTAATACGTTACTTTTAACCCTCTTCAGACTGATAGGCAAAAACAATTGCTTCTGTAAGGCCATTGCTGATGTCTTTCCCTCTTGGCACTGTGTTAACACACACCTGTTAGCTCCAGAGCAGCAAACTTCCAAAACTGCCTTTATAAAAAGTGCTTACATGTGCTCATTCAATTTGCACAACTGTTTACATTTGTACTACTGTTAATATTCAAACTACTGTTCATATTCAAACTACTGTTTATATTCATACTACTGTTCATATTCAAACTACTATTCATATTCATACCACTGTTCATATTCATACTACTGTTTACATTCACGCTACTGTTTACATTCACGCTACTGTTTACATTTGCACTACAGTTAATATTCAAACTACTGTTCATATTCAAACTACTGTTTATATACTACTGTTCTTATTCAAACTACTGTTCATATTCATACTACTGTTCATATTCATACTACTGTTCATATTCAAACTACTGTTCATATTCATACTACTGTTTACATTCACACTACTGTTTACATTCACACTACTGTTTACATTTGCACTACTGTTTACATTTGCACTACTGTTTATATTCACACTGGTGCTTATATTACACTACCGTTGATAAATATTTTTTTACTAGCCTTATTGCATATGTCACTTTACCTACACCAATATCAAGGACTTCATACATACACTGTGCATTCACTTCATATGCTGCTTTGCCACTTACTACAAATGTCAATGTCAGGACCTTCACTTCATTTCATTTTATTTTATAGATATACTTTTTAAAATATTTTTTATACTGCTATAGTACAATTTAAGACAGTATCATCCTTTTATTATTTAATTTTATGCTTATGTTTATTAAATGTTTTTATGTTAAATGGTTATTGTTGCACCGGGGTCTGAGAGTAATGTAATTTCAATCCTGTGTATGTCCTGTACATATTGCAGTTTTTGACAATAAAGTGACTGACTTTACACCGATGATGATCAATGAACCAAATAATTTGATGACTTTTCGTCTTCAATCCTATGGAAGATGCCAGGATAGACTTAAGTTTTCAACACACAACTTTTTCATTTTTACTTTGTTTTCTTATTAAGTACTGACATAATGGCTCTGTGGTGTGTTTTTGTACACTTGAGGTTATATTTAAACATTTTAAAACTTCACCAAAATCTAATAATCTCTATTATATCCTGATATATAACCTTTGAACTGAAAGAGGATGCATTTTTTGTTTCCAATGACTGCATATGTATTATTTCATATTGTAGACACATTTAAAAACCTTTATTATTTTATATTTATGTAAATACACACCTGTTTTTCTGTTTCTGATGACAAAGAAGAATGGGTGATCTGCCATGACTTGTGGGTACAGCACCAGAGTCCTAGTCAGGGCAATCATTCCTAAAAAAAAAAAAAAAAATAAAAGAGAAAGAGTTAAATAATAATATGCGTTATCAGAAAATCTTTATTTGTGATCCTTTTACTTAAGTTGTTGTCTTAGAACCACAGAAACAAAACAAAAAACTGTATTTCTGAAAGAAAAAAGAAGTGTACCAGATCCAACGGCTCCCTCGGCCCCCTCCTCTGTCACCTCCAGGTAGGCCTTCTGCACGGCCTTTCCAATGTACAAGTCCTTACCATCTAAACAACACACACAGTTGTGCAATGCTAATTGCCCAGTCTTTATATTGCACATGTTAGGCACAAGAGCAAAGGCATATTATTGACTCTGATTTGTATGTACATCCAGTAGAAGACACTTTGTCTCCAGTGCTCATTAGTAAAACCAACACCAATAGGCCGATCACATCAAGCGACATCAGCTCGTATACAGAAGCCTGCATAATTATTCCCCCAGTGACTGAAAGGATGTCAAAAGCTTCCCTCTCTTATCCACCAATCTCATCTTCATGTTGAGCTGGGGGTGTTTAACCAGGTGCATACAGGCTACAGGTTGGGCTTAACAATGTAAGGCCATCCCACCATTATTAATTAGACCCCAGTTTCCCATCTGCTAAGAATAGAATGACTGACTGTAACACCACCATCATGTTTATTTAGCCAAGACTGTTTCTGTTGGTTTACACCATTTTAAAGATTACTTAGACCTTGTTCTGATTTCAGCCAACACAGTTAGGCCTGTCACAATAACAAATTTTGCTGGGCGATTAATTGTCTCAGAATTATTGTGTTAAATGATAATATTGTTTGAAATTGGACAACAATTAGTAATTGTCAAATTTAAGAATAAATGTTGGTAAATTTTTGTGTGTAGTACCTTATTTTGACCACTGGATGGCAGTATAAGATTGTTTGAACCGAAGGATGGCTAGTGAGGGAGCGAGCAGCGTGTCTCTTTAAGAAAAATGGGAGGGAGGCCTCTTGACGTGACATGGGCTGTCTCTTATTCCTGTTTCTCAGTTCTCAAAATGGCGGACGCTCGGTGTGGTTTGAGCTCTTTAGCATAGCATTTGTCACACAAAGCTTTTAATAAAAAATCAGTAAACAAGTTCTCAGCTTCTTTTTGCAGAGAAAAACAACTTTTTACACAAAGGCACTGGTTTCAACTATGAATTTTGGAGCTTTGACAAGACAAAGTATTTTCCCTGAGGTCAGCCTGTTAGCTTAGCTTGTAGCTTAGCTTCTCAGCTTAGCTGCTTTTAATGATCTAAAAACGTGATTTTGGACGGTTAAAACATATTTTAAAGATAAAAGAAAAAGGGAGGGATTAGTGAATAGCATTGGAGTTGAGCCTTTTGTCATCCGGTGTCTTAAGTAGAAAGAGAGAGACACGAAGAAACGATAAAGCCGATAAATGAAAACGAGGTTGATAATTTTTATTTATCATGCAGTTAATTGATTTATTGTTTATTGCAACAGGCCTAAATACTGTATTTATAGACTTCTCACCAAAGGTCTATTTTTGATAGATGATGTGACAGCACCAACCTGCCCACTCACCACCAGTTACCTTGGTTACCTTAGAAACAACTAAATGCTTTTTTTACGTCTCACTGCCAACATGGGCATTAGATGTTATACTGAAGCTTTTGAGGATCTTATTTATTCTATTCATGTCTGTATCCATGTGTTTGCTTTAAGAACTGGTGTGAGTGTATATGTGTGTAAAGTATGTGTCAGCGTTTTGCTGTAACTGCACATCACCTGTCATGGCAGAGAGATCAGCATCGTTGGTGAATACTTGTTTAATTCCCAGGTCCTGAAGCATGCTCTTTAGATCAATCTTCTGCTCCACCTTAAACCTGAACAATACTCTCTGTTAGAGATATTAGCAATTCAAACTAGGGATTATAATCTGGATTATCAGCAAAGGAGTAACAAATAAAAAGCAGGATTTAAACGAATAGATAATCTTAAAAAAAACCTTTTATGATCTATTACTAGGGATGGGGCCGATCCGATCCCGTATCGGTATAGGGCTCCGATACCAGCATAATTTACGTATCGGATTTTTCCGATCCACCTGCAGATATTTCCGATCCATGATGCATGTTGGCTTCAAACTATGGAATGGATTTCCTGAACGGAGGCGTGTCTCATGAACCCAGAGTAATAAGACCCGCCTCACATTCAGGAAATCCAGTTCATAGTTTGCAGCCAGCTACAACGTGAGGACTGAGTTAGCAGCACCGTGGCTAACAGCTAACTAACTTTTCATCTAAACATGTCCGCTGTGTGGAAGTATTTTACACTAGAAACACCACAAAACAAGACAGCAACGTGCAATGTCTGCAGAGCCATAGCGCCACATTAAACCGTGATAAAGTTAGTCTTACATTGGACATTCGAGCTCCATGGCTTCAGCGGGGCGCTACTCTTTCAATCCGAAACAGGCGACTCGACCCCGGCCAGCCGCGTCCAATCTGTCCGTCTCTGAGGAGGGACAGACTGAGCGCGGCTGACCGAAATCAGGCTGCCTGCTTCGGATTGAACAGGAAGAAGACATCGCTGAAGCCTCGGAGCTTGAATGTTTACCGAGAAGTTGTTAAACTTCATCATAATTCATGACCAACCACTATCAGTTGTAGAAAACGAAGGATTTCTCAGCTTGATACTTGTAGCCAAGATATAGTTTACACTCCAGGAGATATTTATCAGTACAACAGTAGACAATCAAAAAAAAAACCATATGATTTGAAAATTATATATATTTTTAAAAAAAATAAACGAAACAAAACAGCTACATTATAAAGTGATGTAAAATACTATAAACAGGAACGTCTGTTGGTTTATGCCATGAACTTAGCAGGTGTTTGAAGCCATTTAACATTTAATTTAATTTATTTAGTCAATAATTTAAAAGAAACACAACAAATTCATCAAAAAGAAAACATTGAATGAAAAGAGATCAGAAAGAAGAAAAAATTTCTTATATCTGCCCTTTATTTAAAAAAATATAAAATAACTTTAAACAATCACTTAATCACTTTAATATCCACTTTAAAGCTAGGAATAAAAAAACAAAACATGTTTTGTGTTAGCAGATATTAATTCTAACTTTAAAACTTATCCAACATTAATAAAACTTACCTCAAGTTGCCTTTTTGGACATGCAGGCATATATTTGTACAAATTGTACTTGAGAGGAGATTATTACAGCCTCATGTAAAATCATTGATGATGATGATATCGGAACTGGATCGGTATCGGCCGATATTCAGATTTAGCTATCGGGATCGGATCGGAAGTTAAAAAAGTGGATCGGTGCATCCCTATCTATTACATCACCATAATCTTTAAACAGATAGTATATTCACAAGTTGAAGAAGAGGTGTTAAACAGAATTGCTTACCTGGGTAGGTATACTTCCACCTTTTGTTGTTTGACATTGTTGGCCCACTCCTCCAGCAGTGGTGCTTTGATGATGGGCTCCAGAGAAGCCAGAGGAACCTCCTGCCGAGGCAGCACGATCATCATGGATGTGTCCTCTCCCTCATAGGGCATCTCTAATACCTGGTACACACCGCCGGCCTCCTGCGAGCCATCGCTGAACTCACCTGAATAAAACGAGACATGCACAAGACCACTGAAATAAATGTACACATATGAAGGTACTCATGTATGTGACTCCTTTGTTCCACCTGCTTTACATCTGTAATCAACAGACCTGTTTCCACTTACTCATCGCACCAGGTAATTTTAAGTCACGTCAGTTAACGTCACGCCCAATTATGCTGCCAGTTTAATAAATACAACTCAAGTTTTGATCTGGATCCTGCCTCTACTTGACTGGATCAATTTAAACTGAAGCTCATGACAGAACTTGTCCCAATTTGCTCTGTGTGAATTGTCACTCGATTCACTGCAATTATCGCCTGCTACTGAAGGGTGAAGGCAGGCAGTATTATTTTAGCCTTGTCTTTATGCACATTTGTGTCTGTCTGTTATCAAAATATTACATATTCTGCTGCACTGATTATAAATTTGTATCTGATTAAAATTTTAAGTCAATCACATTCAAGATGGCTGCCACGACTAATTGGCATTGAAAAGCACAAAAATTGCCATATTTTAATTCATTTTACAGATATTGAGATAACATTTGGAGTGGTAGTTGTGAAAGGTCTTCCCAAACCCATACTGTAAGTCTTTGATAAACTTTTTGACATTACCTGGAGTAAACTCTGAAAACCATGAAAATTTAGATTTCTTTGATTTTTTAAATGCCATTGTATTTTCACTTGTTATTCTCAATTTGTACACATCCTTTTATGATTGTCTATTGTTGTCTTTGTTGTCCACTGTTGTCATCATTCTTTGTTGAAATCAGGTCTCTCTTGTAAATGAGTCCCAGAGTCTCATTGGGATTAACTTGTATAAATAAAAGGTTGAATGAAAAATGGGCTGCAGTTGATCTGGACTCAGTGTGACCCGGATCCTGGGAGGTGCAGGCTCCAGGCGCCTGGTTCTGGTCGCACAGTGCTGGTCCAGACCAGGCCAGAGGTGGGGGATTAAATTCTGGGCAGCCTTATTCCTGGAGCAGCAGTGGTGGGCTTCAGTCGAGCTGCACCAAAACTTTTTTCATCTATCGGGTTAGACGGAACAGAGCAGCTCATGTGAGGCCTTGTAATTAAAATTTTGTTGCTCCTGTACATCAATCAACCTTTATTTAGACAGGTAAATCCCATTGAGCCTCGAGGACTCATTTACAAGAGAGACCTGATTTCAACAAAGAAAGATGACAACAATGGACAACAGCAACAACAATAAACAGTTATAAAAAAGCATACTACAGTTTTTTTTTTTTTTTTTTTTTAACAAATAGGATGGCTAAAAGGAAAAGGTAACAAAACAAAACAAACAAACAAACAAAAAAAACAGCTAGATTCCAAGACAAATGTAGAAAACTAACAACAGGAACATGTCTGCATTGGTCCCTGCCAGATGTCCAACAGGTTCTTAAAGCCACTTAGAGAGGTCAAGGTCGAGAGCTTCAAATCTTTTTGTAAGATATTCCAGGAAACAGGAGCGGAATAGGAGAAGGCCCTTTTGCCTAGTTCAGTCCTCACTGAGGGAACACTGCAGGTAATAATATCCTGAGAGCGCACGTTGTAGCTGCACTCACGCAGAGACATGTAGGAGGAGATGTATGAAGGCAGCAGACCAAGAAGTGATTTAAAGATGAAAATGTACCAGTGAGAGAGTCTGCGTGAAGTTAATGATGTCCAGTTAACCAGTGAATACAGGGTGCAGTGGTGGGTACGATAATCACAGCCAGTTATGAATCTTAGTGCACCATGACAGTACATACTGTATGTTGTTAAAATTAGTAGGTTTAAGAGTTTAGAGGACATTGTGGGCTTCATTGCTGCAGGATAGGTCTGTAGAAATGAACCAAGTCAAAATAGAACAGAGTTGGACCAGAACCAGAGCTGTTGTTGTTCTGCAGAGCTAGTAAGTAAAATTTAGTAACATACATTGTTAAAATGACATAGCTTTAAGCGTTTAGAACATTCCAAGAGTGTGGGAAGGGTTTATAAAGCCTTAATATAAGGCTTAATCTACTTGAACTTGAACTACTGTATCCCTACTTTGCATTTTTTCACTTCCCGCGGGGCTTCAAGGTATGAATCCCCATGATAAATGAAGGACTACTGCATTCAGCAAAATAATAAGTTCTAAAAATGAATTAATCATCTCCTTCATCTCCTGTGGTCCACATGACAGTCCATTTCACTTCCAGTGTTTCCTGCTTCTCTACTCCAATGTCATGCTGTTGCTCCAGTTTCCTGTCTCTGATGGTCGTCGTTCTCTGTGGCATCAGCTCCAGCTCTTATAAGTGCTTCAACCCTACTGCCAGAAGACCCAGTTGTCTCAGTGCCAACAGCTGCAGACCAGTTGACTCCATTCCATTTCAGCCAAAGAAGTCTCAGCCCCTTGAACCCTCTGAGTCTCAGCCCCTCGAGCCCCCTGTACAATAGGCTGCTCCCCTACAGACCTCTGTGATGGCTGCTCCATCAGAGACCTCTGTGTTGACTGTACTACCTCAGTCTGTTACACCTGCGATTCCTCCAGGGTTTCCTGCATCCGTTTCTCATACTCATTCCCCTGAGGCTCATCTTCCCAAGTTCTGTGAACATCCAGATAAAGTACCTCAGTACATGCAGCTCCAGACAACTCAGTACCTGCAGCCTGAGCCTTCTGGGTCTCTGCTCTGAGAGCCTTATGAATCACCAGAACCTTCACTGTCTGATGTGACCCCTGAGCCTGCAGAATTCAGAGTCTGTCCCTCCCAAGGCCCCTGAACAGCCAGAAGCATCACCAAGGAGCCACAAGCAGTCAACAAAAACTGCTGCTCCTTTAGTCTTCAGAGTCCAGTGCTCCAAAGTCTTCCTTGGTCTTACTCTCTCAAACTAATGAGGTCTCAGATTTTGAGAGGGCTGAAGATGTGGCTACTCACCTTCCTGTCTATGAGAGCGTCGACGACAATGCTTTACCTTCCTGCATCTCCGTGGAGAAAGACAATGACGCTCCAACTTCCTTCATTCTCAAGAGGAATGAGGACGTAATTCCTCAACCATCCATCTCCCAAGAGTCATCTGCTGCAGACTAGGAAGAGGCCTCTGCTGCAGCGTATTAAGGGGCCTCTGCCGCAGCCTGTGAAGGGGCCTCTGCCGCAGACTGTGACGGGACCTCTGCTGCAGTATGTGAAGGGGCCTATGCTACAGCCTGTGAAGGAGCCTCTGTTGCAGCCTGTGAAGGGGACTCTGTTGTAGCCTTTGAAGGGACCTCTGCTACAGCCTCTGAAGGGGCCTCTGTCGCAGCTTATTAAGGGGCCTCTACCGCAGCCTGTGAAGGGGCCTCTGTTGCAGCCTGTGAAAGGGCCTCTGCCGCAGTATGTGAAGGGGCCTATGCTACAGCCTGTGAAGGGGCCTCTGCCGCAGTTTGTGAAGGGGCCTATGTT